ATCGCCCCAAGAGGACCCCAAAACGGCCCAAGAGGACTCCAAGACGGCCCGAGATATCCCCAGGACGGCCCCAACAGGGGGCCAGACAGCGAACCCGAACGGACATGTCAGTGAAAAATCATGGTACAAGCTTTGCCCATGAGGTAATGACCTGGTAACCCTACTCCTAGGATAACGTCGGCGACGCACCGAGGGACCGAAGTATCCCACAACTCAACCCTCGATGGCGAGCAAAGCGGGAGGTAAAAGAGAAGCCATGGGATCGAAAAATATATCATAAAAACGGACGTGGCCTGTGTCCGTTGGATAGTCCGCACATCGAATCGCACAGCTGTGTGAATGGCAGACAGGACAGCGCCCCCGTGAGCCAAGACAGCGTCGGATATAGGGCTCGCTATACAGGCTAGCTTCAAACCTCGATTGACATCGGGAAGGGAGGGGCCGAACGCTAGATCCAAGTCCTGAGTAAGTAGATCAAGTAAACAAGGAGACTAGGGATGATGTTTTTCCCCCAGCATCCGTAACAACATGCAAGACTACAGCGCAGAAAGGGCAGCGCAGAGTATTCGGGCCGGTCATGGCGCATTCCCGCGACAAGCCGCAGACGATTATGCGTTGTCACGGGCAAGTCAGGGGGGTCGCCCAGCCAGTGGGCCGGACGTCCAATCGCGCGGCGTGCGAAGGGAAATGGCCAAGCGGTCATATCACCTTTCCTATATGAAACTAGAACCACGCGCGCGCTTCGCGCGCGCTTAGGTTCTGTCGAGTCACAAACCCAGGAATCGTTGCGAGAAGAAGTTGGTGACGCGAAGCGTCTTGGGGGCGCCCTTGGACGTCCGGGGTCTCCTGGGGGGCCTCCTTGGGGCCTTCTTGGGCTCCATCTGGAAGGCAAGATGGATGCAACAAGAGGGTGCTTGGGCTCTCCGTGAGCTATCCTCTGGTTTTCATTCCCCTGGAGAGGAGAAGGAGGAGGAGGAGGAGGAGGAGGAGGAGGAGAGGAGGAGGAGGAGGAGGAAGATGCAGAGGAGGGAGGAGGAGGAAGGAGAGGAGATGTTGGGGCGCTCTTGGGGCCCTCTTGGGCTCTCTTGGGGCTCGTCGGGGCCCTCGTGGGGCCACCTTGGGCTCCTCTCGGAGCTCCAAGAGGAGCCCACAGAGGGGCCCAACATCGGTCACGCGAGAGCTCTTTCGCGTGACCGATGTTGGGGCCCTCTTGGGGCCCTATTGGGCCTCCTTGGGCCCTCTTGGGGTCTCGACGGGGCCCTCGTGGGGCCATCTTGGGCTCCTCTCGGAGCACCAAGAGGTGCCCAAAGAGGGGGCCCAACATCGGTCACGCGAGAGCTCTTCCGCGTGACCGATGTTGGGGCCATCTTGGGGTTCCTTGGGCCTCCTTGGGCCCACGTGGGGCTCCCTCGGGGCCCTCGTGGGGCCATCTTGGGCCCCTCTTGGAGCTCCAAGAGGAGCCCAAAGAGGGGCTCAACATCGGTCACGCGAGGGCTCTTCCGCGTGACCTATGCTGGGGCTCTCTTGGGTCCCTCTTGGGCCTGCTTGGGTCCTCTTGGGGTCTCGTCGGGGCCCTCGTGGGGCCATCTTTGGCTCCTCTCGGAGCTCCAAGAGGAGCCCACAGAGGGGCCCAACATCGGTCACGCGAGAGCTCTTCCGCGTGACCGATGTTGGGGCTCTCTTGGGGCTCTCTTGGGTCCCTCTTGGGCCTCCTTGGGCCCACGTGGGGTTCCCTCGGGGCGCCCTCTTGGGCCCGTCTTGGGGCCCTCTTGGGCCATCTTGGGCGCCTCTTGGGCCGTCTTGGGGCCCTCTTGGGCAGTCCTGGGGCCCTCTTGGAAGCTTCTTGGGCCGTCTTGGGGCGGTCTTGGGCGCCTCTTGGGCCGTCCTGTAACGTCGGAAAGCCCAAAAGACAACTTTGTTGAAAATGTACGTTTTACGAACGGAATGGGCGAATTTTTGCGTCGAGGGGCCCTCTTGGGACGCATGTTGGAGGCTTCTTGGGGCCTCTTGGGGGCGCCCTTGGACGTCTGGAGGCCAGAAAAAAAACGACGACGATGGGGGAGCAGGAGGGGGAAGGAGCAGCAGGCGCGCGAGAGCGAGGAGGACGGAGGAGGATGAGGAGGGGCCGGGCGCGCGAGGAGGGGGCACTCAGGAGCGAGGAGCGAGGAGGAGCGAGCACTTAGGAGCGAGGAGGAGGGAACGCGGGGGCGGGCACTTAGGAGCGAGGAGGAGCGGCGAGGATCTGCCCTGGCACGCCGCCAGCACACGGCTGCCGGGCATGCGCCCGGGCCGCTCCGCACGGGCCGCCGGACGCCCACGGCGGTCGCCGCCCACCTCCACGGCAGCCGGGGGCGGCACCTGCACGCCCAGCCCCGGGGCCCGGCACCCCCCTCCCCCGGCAGGCCCTGCCCAAGGGCCCGCGGGGGCCCACAGCAGGGCGCCACCTGCCCCTGACCACGGAGCGGGCGGGCACGCCCGTGCGCGGTGCACTCCAGCTCCCGTCGCCCTCTCGCCTTCTCCCTCCCTCCCCTCCCTCCCTCTTTTCCCGTGCCCTCCCCTCTCTCTCTCTCTCTCTCTCTCTCTCTCTCTCTCTCTCTCTTTTTTTTTTTTTTCTCTCTCTCTCTCTCTCTCTCTCTCTCTCTCTCTCTCTCTCTCTCTCTCTCCTCTCTTCTCTCTCTCTCTCTCTCTATCTCTCTCTCTCTCTCTCTCTCTCTCTCTCTCTCTCTCTCTCTCTCTCTCTCTCTCTCTCTCTCTCTCTCTCTCTCTCTTCTCTCTCTCTCTCTCTCTCTCTCTTCTCTCTCTCTCTCTCTCTCTCTCTCTCTCTCTCTCTCTCTCTCTCTCTCTCTCTCTCTCTCTCTCTCTCTCTCTCTCTCTTTCTCTCTCTCCTCTTTCCTTTCCGCAAGGCTCGAGGCTCTCCAGGTCAGCTGCCTCTCCCCGCTGCGCTGGCAAATGCCTCTGTGCGTGAAGCATGCGCTCCTCTACTGCTCAGGGCCCCGGCTTGAAAAGAACACACCTGTGCAGCAACACGTGCTGACGATACTGAAACGGGGTGGAATGCCCACACCCTTCCGTCCCATTTTTCATCCTCGCAATCCCATTCCCACCTGTCCCATCCCTCCCTCCCTTGCTACCCCTCCGAACCCGTCCTTTCCATCTTGAATATACAGGTACCTCTTGTCTACATGTATGCTAGTCAGCGTGAACCCCAATCAGATCGTCAATGCACCGTGGAGGGGAAAGCTACGCGGTGTAAAACATGCAGGAGAATATGTGCGGTGCAAGCTCTGTGGTGTAAGCTAAGCGGTGTGTACTGGGGGTGAAAAGTCTGGAACGCAAGCTATGTGACATAGGAAAAATGCTGCGTAATGCACGCCGTGTAAGCTACGTGGTAAAAGTGATGTCGTGTAAGCTACGTGGGGAAGACAATGTCGTGAAAGCTACGTGGTGAAGACAATGTCGTGTAAGCTCGGAGTACGAAGCGGCGACGAGGCGGCAACAACGGGGCACCAGTCGATACCCCGACATACTCACCCAGCGCACGAGGCGGCAACGAGGCGGCACCAACAGGGCACCAGCCGAAATCCCGACCTCCGGGTGAATTGGATACATTGGGGGAACATATGAGCGAAACGTTATTTCCACGACCGAAGCTGAGTCCAGGAAAGGATCTGCTCTCTCAAGCCCGCACGTGGCATTGACAAAGCAGGCAAGTTCCAACCGCCCTGATCGGTTAGAGCGAGGAGGGGGGGGGAGGAGGACGCGGAGGAGGAGGAGGAGGAGGAGGAGGAGGAGCAAGAGTACGTTGGGGGAAAGAACGGCGTGACTGACTCTCGTGCCAGCTGCGCGCGGCTCCCTGCGCAAGGGATGGCGATATGAGAATATATGTAGCTTGCCTGGGGATGCCCCTCTGCCCCCTCCCTTCTCTCTCATGATCATGACCTCGTCCCTGTCGTCCCGCTCGCTAGTCCTCCTGCCTGAATCCTGCGTCCTCCTCCTCCCCCTCGTTCTTCTCTCCCTCCCCCTCCCCCTCTTTCCCCACTTGCCGCCTCCACCGCCACCGCCACCGTATCTTCCGTTTCCTCGCTGCCCAAGCCGCCGCGCGACAGAAGGCGCGCGACAGCTCTCAGCGCGGCCAGTTATCTGGCAATCCGCCCCCGCCGACGCAAGGTGTAGCGCGATGCCATATCTGTAGTAGTGCATGGTATACGCACACGTAAGTGGTCGGAGTGTATATATGTTTTGAGTTTGGCTGACGTGAGTTTGCGATGTTTGGGGTTTGCGGGATTGCGCCAGCGTGACTGAGAGCGCCGGGTTAATCTTCTCGACGCGGCAAGCGTTGCAAGACCTACCGTAAGGATAGTAAATCCGCAGCCCGCTCGAGGCGTGCGCGCGTATGAGACATTCAATTGTTTGGTATATGTGGCCCACCGTGTTTTTTTCCACGCAGATGGTCCGGCGTGGGCACTCGGAAACGGAAGGAAAAGCCACATTGTCCCAACCATCGTCGTTCGACCTGAAGCGTCGGTGGGAGGTCGTGCGCGCGTGTGTGTGTGTGTGTGTGTGTGACGTTGTGGGGCGGGGGAAATCGCGAAGCGGCGTTGCTCTCTCGAAGCTCGCTGGTCCGGTCAGCAAGGCACTCTACTGTCTGGTCCGCCATCGCATCGTAAAAGCGAAGCAAGGGCGTTCTGGTAGCTTCGAAGTCGAAGCCAGTCACAATAGGTATGAAGCGCCCTAAACATCATTTCGTGGATGGGCGGAGGGGGAAAACTGACGCGCGAACGCCTCCAAGCAGTATGCCCGCGTTCTGGGCATTGTGGCGGACTGTGCCAAAGGCGAACAGATAAGCTAGGCACGCTCGGGTTACCCCTGGCGCTGCGTACGTCACTGCGACCGCCAGGTTGCACAACATCAGAGGCCAGTCAGTGTCTGGTGCGGTGGCTGAGGAGAAGTCCCGCGCCCATCCAGGCGTTCGCCTCAAGGCTGCTGGAACTAACTCTTCG